AAGGGTTCTTAGTCATGGAGATTGAGCCAATTGGTTCTTCCCAGCAGATCGTGACAGATATACTAAATCTTATGTTTTTCATACATATTTTATATTTCAGTAGGAAATAACTTCGCTTATGGCGTTCGTACAGTAATTGCGGCGGAAATACTGGTCCCAAGACCGAAAACTTTTATGGCTATATCGTCTGCCGGATAATGTAAAGCAAATAAATAAACTTGAAGCAAACTTCGATGAGTTAAAAGGAGGCATTACTCTACATTCTTAGTTAGTCTAAGGAGGTTTCTATAGTACATTTTTAATTACCCTGATTGTGTAACTTTTTATCCGAACAGCTAATATCGTTCTTCTTCAATTCCTTTTTAGCTCATATATTGCAATTCAATATACAAATATACTAAGGCTTCCATGTGTGTTTATTGATACCCATATTATTAGATCGGTATCAATAGACCATTTTACATTATTATATGGCTTTGAACAGACACACATTTGCAACATCATTTATACTTTTAATTACCTCATACAAAAGGAAATCTTATATGTCATCCACAACTTGAGCACTTACCTTAACATTACAGTTATCGCCAGTGCAGGTGCTGCATTTGGTGGCATTGCTGCCGCCCAAGCACTCCAGGTAGTCCTCTTCGTCCAGGCTGGCGAGGCAGCCACGTTCCGTGTGGCCATCAATGCGGAGCAGGGCATAGCAATCGGTGTTCAGAGGATGAGAGCACTGCGTTTCGGAGAGCAAGTTGCTCGGGTCGACGGCGCAGTTCTTGTCGGTGCGCGAGCTGCACAGTTTGCACGATTTGGCTGTGGGCAAGGCCGAGAGCACATTGCAGTTCTCTCCCGAGCAGGTCCAGATGCGCTTCTCCCTCTGCAGGGCTGCGGCATCGCTCACGTTGTACTGGCTTAGGCAGCCGTACTCGGCGATCTTGTTGCTCTCGTCCAGCTGTATGAAGCACTGCTCCGCGCCGCTGGGCACAACGGCGCGACACGTCTTCGACTCCGGCCTGTCGCAGTTGCCGCCGGTGCAGGCATTGCAGCTGCTGCGCACGCCGAGCTCAGCTTGGTTGCAGCTGGCGCTGTCGCAGGCGACGCAGTTGGCTGAAAGACCCGCCGCACAGTCCTCTCGGTCGTCCAGGTCCAGATCGTCCAGGCAGGTGCGCACTAGCTCCAAAGGCGAGTCCTTGTCGCTGGTGCGCGGATACAGCGCTGTGATGCACTTCTCATTGCAGGTTCGTCGCTCTGTCACCAGCTCAATGTCGAACAGACAGTTTTCATCATCCTGGGCATCGCACAGTACACACTCCACCAGTTGCTTGTTGTTCTTCAGATTGTTGCAGCCGTTCGAACGGCACTCGTAGCAGTCCGCATCCTGCGCGCTGCACGTGTCCTGCAGGCTATCGCTGCAGCCACGCTGAATGACCGCTCCAGTGCTATCGAAGACGGCCACACAGCTCTGAGCATTGTTGTTCTCACACTTCTGCAATTGACCCGTGCTGGCCAAACACTGCTCCGGGCTGGTGCAGATGTAACAATTTATGGGGCCGGTATGCCAGCTATGTGGCCAGGCATCTGCAATGGGAACATATATGTAGAGTTTTCTTATTTCTATTTTGGAATATTTAAGTTCTCTTGTTAATGTAATTTGTAGTATAAGTAGTTTGATTGTTAAACAGAATCCAGCTATTTATATTGATCTATAATATACCTGAGCTTACCTATGATATCATAAGATCTGATATAATATAGATCAATAGAAATAACTGGAGTCTATCTAGCATGTATTTCCAGTCACTCATATATGCATTCGACAACATATTTCATTATCTCATATTCCCAGCCTGTTTTAGCTTTACGAATATAATTGAGAAACCATTCAAGTAACTGAAAGAGCTTTCCCTTCTGTGAAATCTTTGTAAAGCTGGAAATACACATGTATAAATATACTACATGCACTGCTACATAAATTTTCACTAATCTAGCGGCTAGTTTTATCGGCGAAATACTATAGTTGTATTATTTATGGTCGGCAATCAAATCGCTTTATCGATTTACAACGCGCGAACGTACATTGCTAATTGCTAGTGATAGCATTTTTTATGCGGTTTATATAAGAGCAAAAAAAAAAAAAAACCAGAAAACCCAAAGAAAAACTTGAGACTACTTTAAGTTAATTAAAAGTGAAAGCGAAAAACGTTTTCAAAGCACACCAAATTATTAAGAACATAATCAAACAATTTGGAAACTTGAAATTCCCTTTAGATTAATCCTAATCTAATTCAACTATCACAAGATAATCTTTCAATCAGTTGAAAGCACACGCTTCACACAAGGTCGATAGCTACAGCCAAAGTCCACACCTGGTAACCAAGCCCTCAAAAACTATCCACGCACTAAATCTTAGTAAATCACTTTGACTTCGCTAAGAGGGGAATAATACAATTTGATTAGAAATCGTATGGATTTCCACATCATCTTTACGAAATATTTCAGGTTGCTGTAAATGCAGTCGATAGTGTTTTAAATACTTGAGTATATTTTCTTTTAAAAGGAACTGTAGTAAGAGAAAATTACGTTTGGCATCTTGTGTATATATTCGATACGTTTTTAATTATTTTATTTTATATATTTATATTTTTCGTTTTAAATACTTTTATAATATTTGTAATATCAAGAACCTAATATATAATTTGATAAGGCAAAAATTAGATTTTAATAATTCAATTGTAGATTTTCAACATAAAATTATATATTTTACAGCTGTTCGACTGACAACCTTTGAACGCAGACAGACGAACTTGATTGAGTATATCAACAAGGCTGTCAAGAATATATCCAGGTAATTAATAAAAATAAAAATATGATTAATAAATAGCACCCAAATTCATATGTTCTTGATCGATTGCCAATATGACATATTTAAAGTTGGTGTAAATTCTGTCAAAATACGTCATTTAAAATTCTCATAAAGTCAATATGTAGATAGTATTCTTGGTCAATAGCTTAGTTGAAATAATGATTCATTCATTGGGTTTTCTGTAGCTTATCATAGATATACTTGGGTTTATTTTAATTCTTCACGAGAAAGTATGTGTATAATTATTTTCCACACGTTGTTTTTTTTACAAAACTAGCAATAAATGTAGTTGTAGTAGTATTTCTTAGAAAGTTCACATTTCGGCATAATATTTCACCAATTCAGATAATATAAAGTTCATAAAAGCCTTCAGCCGGAGCTTTGCTAATCTTTTAGCGTATCTGCCATAACCGCATCAATTCGTCACATCTATATATAAATATATATATTTTTATATATATTCTTTTTTTTCGATTCAATCAAAAAAAAGCATAAAAGGTTAGTATTATATTGTTTTCGATTCTCCAACTGTTCACTGTATCATATCCTTATCGTAGTGCTATCCATAGTTCTATTTCCGTTTCAGAAAGCTGCACAATTAATGCGCTTAGCTTTAAGCAATTCGTTAAGCTACGTGACATTTAGCAATGAAATTTGTTTATGATTATTCATTTATTGATAACACTGTTTAGCACTTTGATAG